TAGCGGGTGAGATGGGGCCACGGAGGTTTCTGGTCTTTTCCAATCCCCGCTCCCTTCAGGGGTTCTTTTTCTAAAAACCGAGCCCTCACTCCCCAGATAGAGCGTTGCGTGGAGCTCTGTTCCCTCTGCGGGCACCGTCGTTGTGAGCTTTGCGGGGACCCATCCCGCCAGTGTCCCGGCAGACCCTCCTGCCTCGCTCACCACATCCGGGTGGGGTGGGCTTCCTGCCAAGGCCCCCAGCCCCAAGCCTACCCTCCTTCTCTCTGGACCTCCCATTCTCTCTTCCAGCAGGAGACAGACACACAGACAGGGTTCCCGGGAAGAGGAGTCTAGTTTTCCCAGACGCTGGGCCAGAGGATGCGCCCTTTGTCCATTGCTGCCTTTGCCATGGGCAGGAGCGGGGGAAGTGGCTGTGCCTCATACATGTACATTCTCATTTTCCGGAGGAGACAGCGCAGGAGGTGGGCAGGAGGGTGCCGCTGTCCTGCCCCCTCAGACCTGGCCTGGAGTGTCTGGAGTTCAGTCTGAAACCATCTATACTAATAAAAGGGTAATATGCTAATTAGACTGGACATCTTCCGGATGTCCTTCCAGACAAAGCCACGGTGGCAGGGGCCAAGGCAGAGGTGGTTAGGGGAGGTCAGGCCGGTAGGGGGGAGCAGTTAGGGGCCAATCAGGCCAGCAGGGGGGAGCAGTTCAGGAGCAATCAGGCTGGCAGACAGAGGCAGTTGGAGTGATCAGGTCAGCAGGCAGAGACGGTTAGGGGTGATCAGGCCGGCAGGGGAGCAGTTAGGAGCATCAGGCTGGCAGGCAGGTAAGCGGTTAGGAGCCAGCAGTCCCGGATTGTGAGGGTGATGTCCAACTGCCAGTTTAGACACGATCCCTGACCGGCAGTTGGACATCCCCCGAAGGGTCCTGTATTGGAGAGGGTGCAGGTCGGGCTGAGGGACCCCCACTCCTGTGCATGAATTTCGTGCACCAGGCCTCTAGTTTAAATATATTTTTACTAGAGGCCCGGTGTATGAAAATTCATGCACTGGAGGGGGTCCCTCAGCCCAGCCTGCACCCTCTCACAGTCTGGGAGCCCTCAGAGGCAGGAGGCAACCCGGTGATCAGGGGAAGGCTATGCCCCATCACATCTCTGCTGCTGCCACTGCCAGCAGCGCAAGCCTCGGCCGGCCCTGGTTACCTGAGCCTCAGATGGCCCTCGGCGCCTGGGCAGCCGCCATCCAAGGTTTTGCCTGCGCCTCGGGCTGGCCTTGTGCGGCTGGGGGACTGAAGGGACTAGGCTTTGCCATCTTGTGGCTGTGGGTGCCGCCATCTTTGAGGGCAGGGCAGTCAATTATCATATTCCCTCCTTATTGGCTGTGGGCACTGCCATCTTTGCGACAGCGTGAGGGTCAATTAGCATATTCCCTCTTTATTAGATAGGATTGATTTCAGAGAGGAAGGGAGAGGGAGAGAGAGATAGAAACATCAATGATGAGAGAGAATCATGGATCGGCTGCCTTCTACACGCCCCACATGGGATCGAGCCCACAACGCGGGCATGTGCCCTGACCAGGAATCGAACCGTGACTTCCTGGTTCATAGGTCCATGCTCAACACCTGAGCCACGCTGGCTGGGCTGGCTAGAGCCATTTAGCTTGGCACTTGAGCACCTCCATTACCTGTATCCAATGCGACCCTACATTCTTGTTAGCAAGCACTTGCCAGGCTTGCACATGCAGAGACATGCCCTTGTCCTAAAGGCACTCAATGCCCTGGGGGCGGGGAAAGGCACACAGTGGTGTGTGTGCTTAGAGACGGGCACAGCATCCCTGGGTCTCAGAAAACGTGCCCAGATCCGCAGGGAGGTGGGGGTCTCCACAGGGCTGAGTCAGTCACCCATCAGACGGGCATGCCCTGCAGGGAGGCACTGCGGGGCTGGATTGACGGCAGCTTGGTCAGCATGTAGGAGGTGGAAAGGCCAGCAAATGGTTGAGGCCTGAGCGAGGCCCCACATGGTTGGCTGCAGCCTGAGCCTGACTTGGGCAGAGGAGAGGCCTGCAGAGCCATGAGTACCAGGCAGCCCCTGGGAGGGTTACCCTGGGCAATGCCTAGTCAGGATCTGTGCCCAGCCTGGCAGCTGGCACCTCCCCGTGGCTCTCCATGGACTCCACAGGCCAGAGCTGCGTTGTGTTTGTTGCTGTGGTCTCGGACTCTGCCTGGCGTGTTGTAGGAGTGAATGGATGGGTGTGAGGGCACGTCCAGATGCACCCATGTCTGTTCACTTCCTGCTCATGTTCTCACCTCTCTCCCTGTTGGTGAGGCTTCTGTGATCTTCTGCTCTTAAATGGGTGTCCAGAGCGGGTGTGTGTGGGCATTGGCATGACTGCCGGGTGGGGTGGGGAGAGGAGATGAAGGCAAGTACATGAGACAGCATGGTCACCCACGCGTCATCTTTAATAACAAGCCCCTAAAACATGCAAAGCACCAGCATGGGGGCCAGGGGTGTGTGTGTGTGTGTGTGTGTGTGTGTGTGTGAGTGAGAGTGTGTGTGTATGTGTGTGTGTGTGTATGTGAGTGTATGTGTGTGAGTGTGTATGTGTGTATGTGTATATGTGTGTGTGAGTGTATGTGTGTGAGTGTGTATGTGTGTATGTATGAGTGTGTGTGTGTATGTGTGTGAGTGTGTATGTGTGTATGTATGTGTATATGTGTTTGTGTGTGTCTCTCTGTGTGTGAGTGTGTGTATGTGTGCATGTGAGTGTGTGTGTATGTGTGTGAATGTGTTTGTGTGTATGTGTGTGTGTATGTGTGTGTGTGAGTGTGTGAATGTGAGTGTGTGTGTGTATGTGTGTGTCTGTGTGTGTGTGGTGGGTTTACTCAGAGAGTAAATAGAGGTCTGTTGGGCACCTACTAGCGAGGTGCTGAGGGAACAAGAGTGAGCTACAGCCAAGACCCCCCACAAATAACCAGATTACTATAGGATGGAAGGCCACTGCCAAAGACAGCCACAGCCGCCGGCCTCCGCAGGAGAGTGAGCGCCTCTGCCTCTCGCGGAGATCAGGGAAGGCTTGTGGACCAGGTGACATTGGCGGGAGCCCTGAGGGTGGGTCAGATTGGAACGAGGGAGACCTAGGAGAGAATTCGGCGAAAAGGACTGCACTCACTGGGAGCAGTTGGGCTGCGCTTTCGGATGAACCTGGCGGTAGCGGAGCAAGGACGGGCAGGTGAGGACTGGCGGTAGGAGGAGGAAGAGGAGGAGAGATGTCCTGCAAGTCCAGGGAGGAGGAATCGAATGGAGGAGGAAGCTGCCCACAGGGCCTGACGCTGCAGAAAGCAGGTGGGGATTGAGTGGGTCTTTGGAAACAGTGACAGGAACACTCGTGACCTTGGAGAGAGCGGTGTTGGGCGCGGAGCAGGGCAGAACCCAGACCAAAGTGCCAGGAGCAAGTGGGATGTGGGAGCAGAGGCAGCCGGCGCCCGCACTGCTGAGGCGCCTGGTGGTGGGCAGATGAGCAAAATGGAACAGAAACTCGGAGACGGTTAGCGTGACACACACCAAGGGACTTGTTCTCTCTTTTGCTGGGAAATGAAAGCTGCTGAGTCTCTCGTAAGCAGAGGGCGGGGGGTAGACAGAAGACTGGAGAGACAGGGTAAGAAGTGAAAGCGTGTGCTGCAGGGTCAGCCCGGAGGAGGCTGGGGTGGGGAGCGAGGGGGGAGGAGGGTTGGCCTGGGA